CTCTCCACTGCACACCTGTAGAAGGAGGTGAGGACTGAGCTTCCCAGGCCAGCTCGTCTCAGCCGTCTGACCAGTATTATGTAAATGACCAGTATTAGGTTAGCTTAGCTGCCTGGCTTTTTCTAAAATAAAAATCTAGGAACCAATAATTCATCCATCATCCTTCTTCCTTTTCAGGTCACTGGTGCCCATATCAGCCATCACTGTGTGAGAGGTGGGGACACCTGGACAGGTCTCCAGTCCATCACAGACAAATAATTAAAAACATAAATATAAAAGTAAACAAAGACTTCAGCCTACCATAGTATATTAAAGTTTAACTCAAAATAAAATAAAGGCTTCACAGTGTTTTTTAACCATATTGCTCTAACATTTGTTATATTTTCATAACTTAACCTAATATGAAATATCGACTTCACAGTCTTAACCATATTGATTCATATTTGGTAAATCTTTAACAAAATTTCATAACCTGTGCAAACCTGCACAAAAACTCTTCTGAACTATAATTTATAAACCATTTTGTATAATTTAGAACTGGCTCCAGGTGATGTGTCTCATCTCTTCAACCTGTTAAAAAGACAAATTGCATAAAATTTTAGTATAATATGAGAAAAAACAAGGCAGCACGGTGGCGCAACTGGTAGAGCTGCTGCCTCTCAGAGCAGGTCCTTGGTTCAAACCCCGGTCCGGGGGCCTTCTGGGTGGAGTTTGCATGTTCTCTCCGTGCATGCGTGGGTTTTCTCCGGGTGCTCCGGTTTCCTCCCACAGACCAAAAACATGCATGTTAGGCTGATTGGGAACTCTAAATTGTCCCTAGGTGTGAGAGAGAGAGTGAATGTTTGTTTGTCTCTATGTGTCCCTGTGATGGACTGGAGACCTGTCCAGGGTGTCCCCCGCCCCTCGCACAGTGATTGCTGGACATGGGCACTAGCGTCCCCCGTGACCCAAAATGGAATAAGCGGGTAAAGATAATGGATGGATGGATGAGAAAAAACGGTTTCCTTTGAGGTGCAGCTGGTGCATTAATCAGAGCTTCTCTCACTTTATTCTTTGTTTCATGGTGGAGCTGTGGTGCAGCTTTATTGCAAGAAGCTATGTGAAGGATTAACGTATGGTGCGTCCAGCATATTAAAAATCAACCTGAATCCCTCGCCTTTGACTGAGCGGACTGGTTGTAAATCCTTTGTGATACAGCAGGAGATGGAGAGGGACATCTTCACAGCTCTTGGAGAATCAGCTGGAAATTTGTTGCAGAGTTCGCTGGGCTGCTGCTTTCGCTTTTATCTTCCTTCCGCGCATTTGTCGTATTTCCAAAATACTGTACCGCAATTTTATTTTACACTTCTTGCAAACAACTGTGTTCTTGTCAAGCTCTGTCTTTCCCGGAACATTGTAGAATCAGAAGGAGCGGGTTGAATCGCGCTGTCTTCCGCTCCATGCTAGCAGACTCTATTCAGATAAAGGGAGCTGGCTAACTAGCTTGCTGTACGGTGGCCTACAAGGCCAAATTCTACGGTGGCTGAGCGGACACATAATGTGATATACAGTACGTTTGGGTGTAGGAGTGGAAAAAATAAAACTTATTTAAAATCGATTTATGGACTTTTAGAATTGATTCAGAATCGGCAGGACTAGGAATCGAGATTCTTTAAGGAATTGATTTTTTTCTGCACCTCTATTCCCTAAACTTCCTTAAAATAGAATTCTGACCTGATTGGATTAGAAGTTACCAGCCACGCCCCTTTTCTCATTGTTGAACCAATCATAAGTCTGTATTACACTCTGAGCATTTAGTTTCAGTTCAGTTTCACCTTCTAAGAAAGACGTCTCTTGGGAGAAAGAGAGATGGGGGGGGGGGGGGGGGGGGGGGGGGTGGGGGAGGCGGGGGGGATAGAGTTTACAGAACCCAGCACCTGACTGTTCACCAGAACAGAGTTTGAAGGACGTCCAGAACCAGTTTGGTCTCACAATGGTTACCAGAACTGGGCTTGCATTGCTTCACCATTAACTTGGCTGAAATCACTTCAGCGTCCTGCTGAGAGCCAGTTTACCACAGAGTCAGAAGCAGAAGAGGCGGTCAATCTACCCCTCCTAAACACCGTCAGGTCCACTCGGAGAAACATCCACCTCCAAGTAACTCTGATTGGACCAACACACCTGCCCTGGACTCAGTAGGAACTGCTCGCCTCTTGGTAGTAGAAAGCCTGTTCTATGCTCCTCTGGTGACCTCACAGTAATTGCACAGTAAACTTAAACATAGTTCAACTTAGAAATATTCACTCTTAAGTCCTAACATCTGCCTTTTTAGTTTCAGTAATGCTGATAACTTTATGCTTTCTTTAAATGTCAGTAATTTTAATAATCAATCAGGCCTTGATTCAAAGCCATTTGATATTCGGTATGTTTAGTACTCATCTATAACTACATTCATATATCATAGATTATATTTTTATAATAAAATAAGTTAAAATTTCACCACTGAATCTGATTATTTTAGCTTTTGTGTGTGTGTTTAATTGAAATGATCTTTTTATCCACGAAAAAGTACTCACTTTGATAATTTGGGGTAAAAGAGACTGATTAGAAACAATATTCCTATACGTAGGTGGTGCTCTGAGGTAATTGCATATTTATCAGCTTAACTCAAGGTAAATGGTAAATGGACTGTTGTAGTATGAACAGATGCTGAGATATATTCATACATTAAACGGGTTCTTCATTTTTCTGAACTGTGTAACATGCGTGCATTGAATTTAACAGAAATGTAACGAGAGACGTTATTTATCTTTGACCCATCAAAATGAATGCGGTCATTTATTTACAGAATCAAAGTTTAACATCAAACATTTACATTAATTTGGCAAAATATGAAAATAACAACAGCATAATTAACCAATCAGGAAAACCATACGGCCATGGTTTTCCGTTGCTTCACCACAGACATTAATGAAAACATCTGGATTAATTTTCTAGCAGAAAGGAGAGTTTGAAGATGGAAAATTGAGATTTATCTTACAGAGAGATGTGTGAGGGAATTTATCTGTTTTAACCAGAACAGCACGCTCTTTGGAAATCAGCTTGTCCCAAACGGTACACTTTTGGGTGAAGGTCGACTTTACCTTTCTGAAGATAGATCAGGTCGGCGTGAAGTCCTACTTCCAGCCACTTTCAGCGTCTCCGTTGAGAACAGCTAAAATACCTCGAGAGTCGTGCGAGGTTATCCAAACAGAAGTTATAATTCCCAAAATCGTCTCTGGTTCAGCTCGTTTGGCCCAGCAGCAACCATGAATGCCTGCGTTTTGCATCCAGGTTGTCCCAAAATCTCTGCATTCTGGATTCCAAGAACTCTGAACTCCTTCAGAACTCTGAACTCTTGAACTCTGAAACTCTCAAAACTCTCAAAACTCTTCTCCCCTCTTGAACTGGGAAGTTGCCACATTTAAACGGGCTATACTTCCGGTTCATTTGAGAGCTTTCTGATTCGTGGATGGACCAGAACAGAGGTGTGGTTTGTGATGTAAGGTGTTATGGAAAGTCAAGGATTGTTTAAGAACAGGCAGAAAGATATCATGGAAAAACCAGACTTCGTGGTGCCACCTCTCCTGTATCTTGCTGTAAAAGTTAAACATGACATTTCTTTTCAGTAAACTTTTTAGTTGACCGAAGCTCGAACTTTAACACACTTACAAATTTGCTCATTGAAGACAGAAAAATCAAGAAATGCATATTACCCTGATTTCTTCTTTGAATGAGGAATAAAAATCATTACTACTGTTTAAGTAAATAAAAATGAGTAGTTCACTTCAACATGTAAACATTGTTTGAACTAACACAATTTGATTATCAAATATTTGTAAAATAGTAATGATCATAGAGAATTGTCTTTTCCACTTGATTAATTCAAGAAAGAAAGTCTCAGGATGGGTCAAACTGTATTTCTGGATGCAGATCAATGAAATGACAGTTTCTGACCATATGATCCTAAGGTCATTGATTTGACATCAGGTCAAGTTCACTACACTGTACTTATATAGCGCCTTTCTATCTTATTAAAATACTCAAAGTGCTTTACACTACAATTTGTGCCTCATTGACCCATTCATACTGCACTCTACTAGATCTCTACAAAGACTAATCAGAGCTTTATCACATTCAGACACCGATGGGACACACATCAGAGGCTATGAGGGGTTCAGTGTCTTGCCCAGGGACACTTCGACATGTGACTGCTGGTGGAGTCGAACTCCCAACTCTTGCATTGGAGGACGAGTGCTCTAACCACTCAGCCACAGCTGCTCGAGTACTGTATTTTTAAACTGGCAGCAGCTTGACAGTCCCTGTCAAAGTTTCTCCAGGAACTTTCTAGTTAAAGTCTGATCTTTCTGTCGGGGACACCTTGAAGAACAGAAGTAGCTATTTTACTGTTAGTTAACTGAAACTTGACCTGGTCACGCTCAAACAGATCCTCCTTTAAGGTTCTGAAGACTCGGTCCACTTCAGCCCAAGAACACAAGTTAGATTTCCACAGTTACTGGCTGCTCATGCTGCTGCACTGTGCTAGTCTGGCGGAGGGGGAACTGAAACCAGGACCAGGTTCGGGCTCTGCTGACTCAGTGTTTTTTCTGTTTCTGCAGGAAACGTTGTTCTGGAGAACCTCAGGGTGAAGGAAAATGCTCTGGTAAGTTCTGAACATCAAACTGGATCCCTCATCAATCTGAAACCAAGTGTGGTCTTGCTCCAGGTCCTGTCTGTACCAGATCCACCCTTTTCCCCTCTGCTTTTAGCGTTGCCTGCCAACAAAAGGAAAAGGCGAACAATAATGTTTTTGCTCATGTTTGTGTGTCTGTTAGCAAAATATCTCTTGAAATGTTGGAAGGGTTTTACTGAAAGTTTTAGAAAATAATCATTGGCTGTACTTCCACAACCAGCTTACTTTTGAAGTCAGTCTAATTTAAGATGGCTGCCACAGCTAGTTGGCATTGGCCATTACAAAAATTGCTGTCAGTTTTACAGATATTGAGCTAAAATTGTTTTGGTAGTAGATGACGGTCATTCCCAACACATCTCTGAGTGTGTTGCCGTAGTGCATAAGATTGTGCATAATGTTATTTTCAGTGCTGTCCCTTGTCTCCTGACTACAGATACTGTGGTGCTGGAAAGTTAGGAAAGCCTTTATAATTTGCTATATTTCTGCATAAATATGACCTAAAACATCATCAGATTGTCATACAAGTCCTAAAATTAGATAAAGAGAAGCCAGTTAAATAAATGAGAGAAAATATTACACTTGGTCATTAATTTATCGAGGAAAATGATCCAATATTACATATTTGTGATGGTAAAAGTATGTGAACCTCTAGGATTATCAGTCACTTTGAAGGTGAAATTAGAGTCAAGTGTTTTCAATCAATGGATGATGATCAGGTGTGAGTGCGCACCCTGTTTGATTTAAAGGACAAGGATTTATCAAAGTCTGATCTTCACAACATGTTTGTGGAAGTGAATCATGGCAGGAACAAAGTAGATTTCTGAGGAGCTCAGAAAAATAGTTGTTGATGCTCATCAGGCTGGAAAAGTTTACAAAACCATCTGTAAAGAGTTTGGACTCCACCAACCCACAGTCAGACAGATTGTGGTCAAATGGAGGAAATTCAAGAACATTGTTACCCTCTGCAGGAGTGGTGGACCAACAAAGATCACTTCAAGAGCAAGGCGTGGAATAGTCAGCGTGGTCACAAAAGATCCCAGGGTAACTTCTAACAACTGAAGGTCTCTCTCACATTGTCTGATGTTAATGTTCATGAGTCCACCATCAGGAGAACTCTGAACAACAATGGTTCATGGCAGAGTTGAAGGAGAAACCACTACTCTCCAAAAAGAACATGGCTGCTTGTCTGCAGTTTGTTAAAGATCATGTGGACAAGCCAGAAGACTGTTGGAAGAATGTTTTGTGGACAGATGAGACTAAAACAGAACATTCTGGTTTAAATAAAAAGTGTTATGTTGGGAGAAATGAAAACAGCATTCCTGCATGAGAACCTTATACCATCTGTGAAACATGGTGGTGGTAGTGTCATGGTTTGAGCCTGTTTTGCTGCATCTGGATCAGGTCTTCTTACCATCATTGATGGACAATGAATTCTGAATTATATCAGAGAATTCTAAAGGAAAATGTCAGAACATCTGTCCATGAACTGAATCTCAAGAGAAGGTGGGTCATGCAGCAACAATGACCCTCAGAACACAAGTGGTTCTACCAAAGAATGATTCAAGAAGAATAAAGTTCATGTTTTGGAATGACCAAGTCAAAGTCTTGACCTTAATCCAATCCAGATGTTGTGGAAGCACCTGAAGCAGCAGTTAATGTGAGAAAACCACCAACATCCAGAGTTGAAGCTGTTCTGTACAGAGGAATGGGCTAAAGTTCCTACAAGCTGGTGAGCAGGACTGATCAACAGATACTGAAAGCAAAGGTTCACATACTTTTACAAACCGGATTCCAAAAAGGTTGGGATACTAAACAAATTGTGAATAAAAACTGAATGCAATGATGTGGAGGTGCCAACATCTAATATTTTATTCAGAATAGAACACAAATCACTGATCAAAAGTTTAAACTGAGAGAATGTATCATTTTAAAGGAAAAATCTGTTGTTTCCAAATTTCATGGCGTCAACAAATCCCAAAAAAGTTGGGACAAGTCCATTTTTACCACTGTGTGGCATCCCCCCTTCTTCTTACAACACTCAACAGACGTCTGGGGACAAAGGAGACCAGTTTCTCCAGTTTAGAAATAGGAATGCTCTCCCATTCATGTCTAATACAGGCCTCTAACTGTTCAATCGTCTTGGGCCTTCTTTGTCGCACCTTCCTCTTTATGATGCGCCAAATGTTCTCTATAACTGAAAGATCTGGACTGCAGGCTGGCCATTTCAGTACCCGGGTCCTTCTCCTACGTAGCCATGATGTTGTGATTGCTGCAGAATGTGGTCTGGCATTATCGTGTTGAAAAATGCAGGGTCTTCCCTGAAAGAGATGACGTCTAGATGGGAGCATATGTTGTTCTAGAACCTGAACATAGTTCTCTGCATTAATGGTGCCTTTCCAGACATGCAAGCTGCCCATGCCACAAGCGCTCAT